TTTCACAGGAACCTAAAGACAAATTTGTTGCAGAATTGTCCCAAAGAGGAGACACAATGAGGGTAGATTTACTAAAGGAAAATAGACTTTTCACTTTGCAAGTTCTGTTGCTCCAGAGCTTGGTAAGTGAGGTGAAGCTTCACCTCACAAAGAATACCCAATCATATGGTAAAGAAAATAAAAAAAAACAGCATTTTTGCTTGCACATGATTGGATGATGGAAGTCAGCAGAGCTTCCACACATTTACTAAGCTCTGAAGCAACTGCACTTGCAGAGTTCAGTCTAGTTGCCTTTAGTTGTGTAGTTAACCTCATTTTGTACATGTGCAACACAACAATATATTCAAACATGGAAGAGGTCTTATTTAGCACAATTTCCTCTATCACCTATAGCACTGTACAGTAAAAATGTTGCAAAAAAGATCTATATGAGTTTGCCACCCAAGCTGGTACTAGCAATGAAAATGTCAGCTTTTCATGAATTTGGCAAAAAATTCCAAGCTAAAACTAACTAAACTTAAAATGGCTCCTATGCACGTTCTAACTACCCTGTAGAAGGAAGATGCTTATACTTACCTATTCTCAGAGCACTCTAGTCTGGTCATGTGAATGGCTCCCAGCAGCCGGCTTCAAGGGACAGGCAGGACAGATGACAAGGATGCCCCATAGTAAGCCTATAGGTGACATCTCCACCCAGGGGATTCCGTCCATTGTCAGAGCCTTCTCTCCCCTGAAGCCGGAACGGAGTGGTGATCACGTGCATCTTCCTTTTACAGGGTAGTTGGTACAGGTGCTATAAGTGGGCTGGGAGCAGTTTTAACCTTAGTTAGTGCTAGCCTGGAATTCAACTTCAATGCTTAACCATTTCTTCCAAAAGGATGTATCCGTATGTCCTCTGGTTGAAGTTGTTATGCCGAGATGATGTGTGCAGCTACAGACATCATTCTGGTATTGTTCTTTTCAGTCAGCAATTCCCTTTAATGTAAAAGCCGTCCTAGCATTTAATTTGCTAGCCTGCCGCTTTTTGCAGCTCTCTCAGGCTCTCCTGACCCACCAGGAGACCCGAGTGTGCAGCCGATGGTTGGGCTGTCTTACCATAGAGGTGTTCGGAGAATGAATCGTCTCTTGTCACCCCTATGGTATTAGGAAACGGAAGGAACCAGTGTTTATTCACATCCAGTTTCTGTGGTTTGTTTACAAGTTATTGCTGGCTCGTAAAAGCATCGGATCAGAGTGATCTTGGTCTAATCTGATGGTTTTAAAGGCAGAGGAGACATATGGGGTGTAATAAGACCTCTGTTAAGAGGTCTTGTCACTGCTGAATGTTGTCACAGGGATGTTACATTCCTTGTAACAGCAATAAAAGTGCTAAAAAAAATGTAAAGAGACAGTGTAAAAATAAAAAAATTCCAATAACTAAAAAAATTTTTTAAATCCCCCATGCTTGCGCATAAAGGTGAACGCACGCGTCAGTCCACCCGCATACGTAAACAGAAATCACACCACATTTGAGGTATCATGGTGAACATAAGAGCAATAATTCTAGCACTAGACCTGTTTAACGCTCCACTGGTAATCGGTAAAGGCATTTAAAGCTTCGCCTATAGATATTTTTAGGTATCAAAGTTTGGCACCATTCCACAAGTGTACATCATTTTAAAGCGTGACATTGTTGGGTATCTACTCGGCGTAACATCATCTTTTATATTTTAGCAAAAAAGGTATCATATTTTGTGTTTGTGTGCACTAAAATTTATTAAAGTATATTTAAAAAAAAATGTGCATTTAAAAAATTGCTGGGCAAATAATGTGTGCCATAAAAAATTGCAACACTTACAATTTTATTCTCTAGGGCAGCGGTTCTCAACCTGTGGGTCGCGACCCCTTTGGGGGTCGAACGACCATTTCACAGGGGTCGCCTAAGATCATCGGAAAACACATATTTCCAATGGTCTTAGGAACCGAGACACTGCTCCTCTATCAGTCTCAGGCGATGTGTGGGCGGGATGACATGCTGCCCCTGTCACCTGGCCACACCTCTGGGATCATTCAACAGCTCCGCCTCCTCGCCACTGATTGGCCACCGGAACTGTAGCTCAGGAGAGGCACACAGGCGGCCAATCACCGGCGAGGAGGTGGAGCTTGGAGAGGAGGAGCCGAGCGGCAGCGCGCGTAGATCAAAGAAGATCGAGGGAGCTGCCGGAGCAAGTGAAGAGGAGAGCGGCCAGAGAAGGAGGACAGCTGACAGGTAAGTGCAAATTTTGCTGCTGCAGCCAGGTATGCTGGCTGTAGATGGGAGAGGGAGAGAGCGAGCGAGCCCAGGCTGGAGCAGGGGTCAGCAAGGTAAGTATCATTGGTGTCAGTGGGAGGAATAGTGCCTTATCATTTGTGTCACTAATACCAATGATGGGGCACTATTCCTCCCACTGACACCAACGATGGGGCAGTATTCCTCCCCCCACTGACACCAACGATGGACACTATTCCTCCCCCCACTGACACCAACGATGGGGCACTATTCCTCCCCCCACTGACACCAACGATGGGACACTATTCCTGCCCCCACTGACACCAACGATGGGGCACTATTCCTCCCCCCCACTGACACCAACGATGGGGCACTATTCCTCCCCCCCACTGACACCAACGATGGGGCACTATTCCTCCCCCCCACTGACACCAACGATGGGGCACTATTCCTCCCCCCACTGATACCAACGATGGGGCACTATTCCTCCCCCCACTGATACCAACGATGGGGCACTATTCCTCCCCCCACTGATACCAACGATGGGGCACTATTCCTCCCCCCACTGACACCAACGATGGGGCACTATTCCTCCCCCCACTGACACCAACGATGGGGCACTATTCCTCCCCCCACTGACACCAACGATGGGGCACTATTCCTCCCACTGACACCAACGATGGGGCACTATTCCTCCCACTGACACCAACGATGGGGCACTATTCCTCCCACTGACACCAGCGATGGGGCACTATTCCTCCCACTGATACCAACGATGGGACACTATTCATCCCACTGACATCAGTGATGGGGCACTAGTCCTCCCACTGCAAAATTACAGTTATGAAGCAGCAACAAAAATAATTTTATGGTTGGGGGTCACCACAACATGAGGAACTGTATTAAGGGGTCGCGGCATTAGAAAGGTTGAGAACCACTGCTCTAGGGCCTCTGCTTAATAAACATATATAATGTTTTGGGGTTCTGAGTAATTTTCTAGCAAAAACATGATTTTTACACGTAGGACAAAATTGTCAGAATAGGCTTGGGAAGCAAGTGGTTAATCCTTTCCCAGGGGCCACCCATAGATTGTAAAGTGGCGCACTGATCTGTCAACCACTGAAATTGAAAAGAATGGTCTAACCTCAGGCAATCAATATCTAAATGCTCTTCTAATATCTCCTCACTAAAATTTGAATGTGAGGTGATCATTTGATGGTAAATAGTTCCCAACAGGATAGCCTATTCTAACTCCACTGCTTCTAACAAATGCTTTAAGCTGTAATATGTGCAATATGTGATGCACATTTGGTAGATCTGCTCTTGTCCTTTCCTTTTTAGTCCAAAGTGTTTTTATATTTCTTTCATACTAATTTAAAGTGGTGTTAAATTTGAAATGTGAAAAAATGCTGACTGGCAGGGTTTTATGACAGAAGAGATCGTAATGGTCTCCTTAGTCATGAATGCTTCCCCCCTCCCTGTCAGCGGTATTGTACGCTGAGCTGCACTTGCGCAGTTGGGAATACATTTACTGCATCCACTCTGTGCCGTGATAAAGACTCCCGTGTGCATGCGCATCATTGCTTGGCCATTCAAGCAGCTGAACAGAGTGAACCTGGAAAGAAGACTGAGAAAAGATGCAAGTGCCTGAGCACTGACTGCAGCTCTGGAGGGCGTGCGGTGCATACTAGCACAGTATGGCATAAACCTGCAGGGGGCCTGTTTATAAAATTTATAATGCTGGTTTAACACACAAATCTAAACAAACCTGTGAAATCATTGCTGAATGAAAAGAGTTACCATCTCCATAAAAAGCCAATATAGGCAACTTTTGCCTTAAGGGAAGCAAAACCATAGCCTTCATCTGGAAAGAAAAACAAACCCTTCCCTACTGTGAAGTTAAACCCAATTATAATGTGTTATGATTAATGAGGAACTCTCTAGCATCCCAAAAGAAACCAAGCAACTGTTCCTATTGTGGTTCGTATGAGTCTTAGGTGACCCCACTGGAATGGACTTCCTCTATTGTAATCATAGTCCCCAAGCTACTATTTTACCCATAACTGGTCACCTGTCTCCCATCATTACCTAATAATAATCCTAAAATGACGATAAACTATACATTCTTAGTGTATCGTCTTTATCGTATCGACTATGTAGTGCAAGAGCTTGGTAGATTTGATACAAACTGAAGGTTTGTATCCATATTGCATAGTTTGGTGAATTTAAAGGAGATTGTATAAAGTACAGTCAGTTTAACCACTAGCCTACAAGGCACTTATACCCCCTTCCTGCCCAGGCATATTTCCAGCTTTCAGCGTTGTCACACTTTGAATGACAATTGCGCGGTCATGCAACATTATACCCATATGAAATTGTTATAATTTTTTTGAGACAAATAGAGCTTTCTTTTGGTGGTATTTAATCACCTCTGGGATTTTTATTTTTTCTTAAACCAAAAACCACTGAAAATTTGGGAAAAAAAAATGTTTTTTCTTAGTTTTTGTTATACAATTTTGTAAATAAGTGATTTTTCTCCTTCACTGATGTGCGCTAATGAGGCTGCAGTGATGGGCACTGATAGGCTGCACTGATGGACACTGATAGGTGGTACTGATGGGCATTGACAGGCATCAATGATGGGCACTGAAAGGCAGCACTGATACATGACACTGATATATGGCACTGATAGGCGACACTGACTGGCACTGATAGGCGGCACTGACTGGCACTGATAGGCGGCACTGACTGGCACTGATAGGCGGCACTGACTGGCACTGATAGGTTACACTGATTGGCAGCACTGATTGGCATTGATAGGTAGCACTGACTGGCACTGATGGGTGACATTGAAAGACTGCTCAGATGGGCACTGATATGTGGCATTGATGTGCACTGGTATGCACTGATATGTGGCATTGATGTGGCACTGATGGGCACTGGCACTGATGAGCACTGACAGGTGGCACTTCTCTGGCCACACTGATCATTAGGGCACACTGATCATCAGTGCCCTGATGATCAGTGTACATGTCCCCTCCACGGAAAGCCGATTACCGGCTTTCCTCTCCTCTCGAGCTGTCAGCGTGACAGCTCGAGAGGAGAGAAATACCGATAACTGGCATTTCCGTGTTTACATGTGATCAGCTGTGATTGGACACAGCTGATCACATGACCAAGCCGACATCTTTGGCTCTTTTAGTGGGACTGGCGATCGCCGCGCTGCGCGCTCCCTGAGCCGCGCATGCGCAGTGAGAATGGTAGGACGTCATATGACGTCCTATCAGAACGAGAGAACCACCTTGCGCCCGTCAAAGACAAAACCTTTTTTTTTTTAATTTTTTTTTTTAGCTTTGGATAGAAGGGAGATGGTTTTTTACATTTATTAGGTTTTTATTGTCGTCTGTGCCCCCGTTAGGGAGATTTACCCTTTCTTGTCCTGTTTTCCATTATTGAAAGTAAAAGAAAATCAAAAATTTTGAGTTGTCCCCAGAAAAGTAATATAGGGTAATCTTCCAATGTGGACACTAGTTCTGGTGACCTAGGGGCCCCAATGGACTTCCTTAATTTGCAGGAATTTCCTCTCACTTCTTGTTTTGGGTATGTTACAGGAAGTGAAGGTTAATCTCCGCAATGGGACACAGATGGCAAAAAACATGTTTACAGGGGTTATGACCCTCCCTTACTCTATTAAAAAAAATGTTTTTGCTATAGTTCTACTTTACTGCCTGTGGAGCCTCCCTGACTCTAGCTGACAACCCCAGGTCAGTCAGTCTCAAGGAATAAAGGCATACTGAACAGATGCTCAACTGCTCCCTCCTCTCATAGTATACAGTTAAGCTGAGTGTAAAGGTGCATTTTTGTCAAATCTGGCAGTGATATTATGCATGCCATCCAAGGTTTGTAAGCATCTTCAAGGGAATCTGATAAATTGTCTATTCAAGGCATAGCAACAGGTTCTTGTGAAAGCTCATCTTCCACACAATCTGATAATTGTCTTCACTGTGCTCCTCTCCTTTCCCTTTGTTTAATCCCTGTGTAAACTGTTTCTGTCAGTGTCTGAGCTTACAGAGAGATAATAAGGTTGCTCCCCCTTCCCCATGTGTTTAAGCTTGGCTAATGGCTATAAAGGTTGAGCACTACTTTCCTTGTCAAAGAAGGTAAGAAGGAGTTGGGGAGAAGGTCACCATCTTTCAGTACTCAGAAGCAATGAATTTCCGTGGGCTCTGACCGATAAATGGAGTGGTTAAGGGGAGCATGGCAAAGATATCATTGGTTAATCTATCAAGGGAGCCTGTCACTTTACCATGAAAAAATTCTGAAGGCCATACGAAGTTTGGAGGTGTTTAGCTATTGACTCTGCAGACAGTTGGCGACTTCTGCACACTGTGTGCTTCATCATGCGCTGACCCTGCTCTGTCATTTTACATGGAGTAACACTTCATGACTGAGTTGCTGTTGCTCCTACTTTGTTATAATACCACTAACAGTTGACCGTGGAATATTTAGTAGCAAGGAAATTTCACAGATGGACTTATTGCACAGGTGGCAACCTATCACAGTACCACCCTTGAATTCACTGAGCTCCTGAGAGCGACCCATTCTTTCACAAATGTTTGTAGAAGCAGTCTGCATGCCTAGGTGCTTGATTTTATACACCTGTGGCCATGGAGGTGATTGGAACACCTGAATCTAATGGTTTGGAGGGGTGTCCCAATACGTTTGGCAATATAGTATATGTTGTCTGTCAGAAAATAATGATTAGGCTGAGCCAACCAGCCAGTAGCTGTGCTTGAACAAATTCCAGATGTTGACTGAGTGCATGTCCAATGCTGTGGCTGTACTCTGCTTCTGGTGCCTGGATGTTTCCCAAAGCTGCTGTCCCCTGTTCTAGAATCAATATATGTATCTGACATGTCTCTAGCTAGACGAGTTGATCATTACTACTGTACATTTAGTTTTGGTCTCTGATATATTTCATAGGCTAGCCAATGACTATGATATATTAAAGCTGCAATCACACAATAGCGTTTTGCTAAAAAAACATGCAAAGCTTGATGCCTAATAAGGTGCAAAAGTTACTTTGCTGTATGTAGGGTGGCCCATTGAAATTAAACGCGCATAAGTGTGATGCCTAGTGTTGCCTATCATAGTATGAATGGGACCTAGGGAGGTTAGTAGCTCAAAGGGGAAACCCTCTATTTTCCTATACAATTCTGTAAAAGCTATTCCTAGTGTCTATCCCTGTCAGTGATGAATGGTTCGCATTTGCATCAGCCCTCCAACTGCTGCTTCTGCAAGATAGCTTGTTCTATGTAAAAACAGACTTGCTGTCGGTCACATGTTAAAAATAAAAAGGAAACCTGAAAAAGAAAACTAATGCCCCAATCACACCTAAGAATTGGTATGCTGCAATGTAATAAATATTTGCTTTTGTGTTGAATACCACTTTAAAGCGGAGTGCCACACAAAATGGGAAGTTCCGCTTTAAGGACTGGTCCCCCTGCTCCCCATTAAGGTTTGGCACCTTTGGGGAGTGGGTACCCCGAAATTGACAGGTTCCCGCTCCCATATCCGCTGCAGTCGCCTAGGTCAGTGGCTCTTTACAAACTTAAATGCGGCTTTTCTGTGTGCCGGGCGCCCGCTCCCTTCCCTCCTCTCGGGCGGCCCGCCCCAAAAGTCAGGACTCTGCAGCTGTCAGGATGTAGGCGGGGCAGCGTGACGAACTCCTCTCCTCTCATAGTCCGCCCTGAAGACCAGAACGGCGCGGGAGCACGGCGAGAAGAACGCGCGGAGCAAAGGTAAGTGAATTGACACAGGGGGGACTTGGGGACTTAATATGGGGGATGAATTACTATGGGGAATGAATTACTATAGGGGGGTTGAATTACTATATGGGGGATGAATTACTATGGGGGATGAATTACTATATGGGGGATGAATTACTATGGGGGATGAATTACTATATGGGGGAAAATTACTATATGGGGGATGAATTACTATGGGGGATGAATTACTATATGGGGATGAATTACTATATGGGGGATGAATTACTATATGGGGGATGAATTACTATGGGGGATGAATTACTATAGGGGGGATGAATTACTATATGGGGGATGAATTACTATATGGGGGATGAATTACTATATGGGGGGATGAATTACTATGGGGGGTGAATTACTATATGGGGGATGAATTACTATGGGGGATGAATTACTATGGGGGATGAATTACTATATGGGGGATGAATTACTATATGGGGGATGATTTACTATGGGGGATGAATTACTATGGGGAATGAATTACTATAGGGGGGTTGAATTACTATATGGGGGATGAATTACTATGGGGGATGAATTACTATATGGGGGATGAATTACTATGGGGGATGAATTACTATATGGGGGGGATGAATTACTATGGGGGATGAATTACTATATGGGGGATGAATTATTATATGGGGGATGAATTACTATATGGGGGATGAATTACTATATGGGGGATGAATTACTATGGGGGATGAATTACTATATGGGGGATGAATTACTATGGGGGATGAATTACTATGGGGATGAATTACTATATGGGGGATGAATTACTATATGGGGGATGAATTACTATATGGGGGATGAATTACTATATGGGGGATGAATTACTATGGGGGATGAATTACTATATGGGGGATGAATTACTATATGGGGGATGAATTACTATGGGGGATGAATTACTATGGGAGATGAATTACTATATGGGGCATGAATTACTATGGGGGATGAATTACTATATGGGGGATGTATTTTCAGTTTTAAAAATGTGGCTCTCAAAATAAATTTCAATCGTGGTTTTGGCGAGATTTGGCTCAGTTGAAAAAAAAGGTTGCCCACCACTGGCCTAGGTGATTGGAAGCAAAAGTTGTCCTCCACCCCCCCCCCCCCCATAGTCTTCTGGGACACGTGACCGGTCCCAGAAGTCTACGAGACCATTCATAAAGCGCAGTGCTACTCGTGCATGCGCAGTGAGCACCCGGCTGTGAAGTTGCAAGCTGTTACAGCCGGGTGCCCACACTGCAGATGGCGGCGCCGGGAACACAGAGCGGACAGTAAAACGAGCTGCGGGGGACACACCGCGGGATCGAGGGACAGGTAAGTATCCGTTCTTTAAAAGCCAGCAGCTACAATTTTTGTCTAGGTGGATAAAAATCGATGATTTAAAAAAAAACAAAAAAAACAAAATCGGGTATTTTGTATTTAAATCTGATTTTTTTTTTCGTTCTTATCAAATTTATTTTAATAAAATGCGTTTGGAGTAAAAATGCATCTAAATATAGTTTTCTATTTAAGATACATTAACCACTTGCCCTCCTGAGGATTTACCCCCCTTCCTGCCCAGGTCATTTTTTGCGTTACGGCGCTGTGTTACTTTAACTGACAATTGCACGATAATGTAACGCTGCACCCTGTGCATTTTTTATTTTTTGCGCTATGAAAAAAAAAAGACAGACAATTTTGAGAAAAAAAAATCAATATTTTTTACTTTTTGCTATTAAACATGTCCAGTAAAAAATGTTAAAAATCAAATTTCGTCATAAATTTACACCAAAATGTATTCTGCTACGTCTTTGCTAAAAAAAATCCCAATATGTGTAATTATTTTTTTTTAGACATTAATGGCTCTGGGTTATTTTGAGGGGACAGCAGATTTACACTGTTATACAAGCTGTGCACTCACTACTTTGCATTGTAGCAAAGTGTAATTTCTTCAATGTTGTCACACGAAAAGATATAATAAAATATTTACAAAAATGTGAGGGGTGTACTCAACTTCTGTGAGATTCTGTATACATGATTTTGTGCACCCATGCCGCCCTGTAGCAGTATTTCTGATATAGGGCGGACATCAAGCAGTTAACATAGTTTATTCAGTGTAAAGTGGAGCTTATTTATGTAGCATGAGGCTGTATATTCTACAATATTTACATTTTTGGTAAACTCATTCAATGAATTCAAGCTCTGTAAGCTGAGATAACATGCACTTCATTGATGCATTCACACAATTTCACAGTAAAATAACAATTTCACAGTAAAAAAAAAACATGAAATAAAAGAATTTGAGTCGTTCTCTTAACTATGTGTGATTAACCTAGTCACCTAAAATTGGTTCTGATATCGCTGTT